CTTTTTCTTTTTCTTTTTCAGTACCGGGGATTGAACTCAGGACCTTGCACTTGCGAGGCAGGCAGTGGAACCACTGAGCTAAATCCCTGGCCCCTTCCTATTTTTTCTTAACAGTGCAAAAGCAGAAGTTTTTAATTTTAATGTAGTTTGACTTAGACATTTCTTCTTTCGTGGGTTGTTCTTGGTCTTGTATATAAAAAATTCATCACCAAACTCAAGGCCAAGATTTTCTTACGTTATCTTCCAAAATTTATTTAGTTTTGGAATTACATTTAGGTCTGCAGTCCATTTGGAGTTAACTTTTCTGAAAAGGGTAAAGTATGGTTCAGGATTTACTTTGCCTGTGGATGTGTTGGCACCATTTGTTGAAAGCTCTTCTTTGTCCCTTGAATTGCCACTGCCCCTTTATCAGAGACCAGCTGACTCTCTGAGCTCCTTCCTGGGTGCTCTGTTCTGTCCCGCTGTCGTCCTCCTGTGTCAGTCCTGTGCAGTACCCCTTACCATTTTATCTCTGGTTTCAGTTACAGTAAACTGTGGCCTGAAAATACTAAATGGAAAAATTCCAGAAGTAAATAATTTATAATTTAGAATAACCCTTCTAGTAGTTTTTTTGTGGGGGGTTTTCTTTTTTTTTGTACCGGGGATCAAACTTGGGCCCTTGCGCTTGCGCAGCAGGCGGCGAAACCACTGAGCTAAATTTCTGGCCCTTGGGGGTTTTTCTTTTGTGTAGTACTGGGGATCGAACTCAGTACCTTGCTCTTGCCAGGCTGGTGCGACACCACTGCACTGCATCCCTGGCCCCTTCTAGTATATTCTTAAAATTCTTCTGTTTCATTATTATTGTTATTCTCCTCCTGTACCTCATTTATAGTTAAACTTTACCATAGGTGTATGTATGTATGAGGTTTTTTATGACTGTCAGTGGTTCAGACATCCATAGAACATCTTGGCACATATCCTCCAGGGGAAGGGAGACTGCTGCGCGCCCTGAGTACTGTAGGCCCACAGTAGATCTTGAGTGTGAGTCTTTGTTGTTTAGTATTGTATTGGCTTTTCATACAAAATAACTTGCTCTAATTTTTATTGATTATAGTCTCATCAGAGTTTTGGAGTTTACTATTGTAGATCTTATATATGTTAGATTTATGCTTTTTTTTCCCCAGTGTTGTGGTTTGAACCCAGGGCTTCTGCACTGACCTACATCCTCAGCCCTTTTTAAGTTTTTACCTAGAGACAGAGTCTCATTAAGTTGTCCATGCTGAGCTCAAACTTGTGAACCTCCTGCCACAGCCTCCCAGACTACTGGAATTGGAAGCATGCACCACTGCAACCAGCTAGATTTATATTTCTTGTCTTTTCTCCCCCCACCTTTTTTTGAATGCTCTAATATGCAATATATTGTTGTTTTTTAATTCTAGTTGTTTATTTTTGGTGTACTGAAAATGGTTGACTTTTTATATATTAACTTTGTATCCTAAAATCTCACTGTATTTATTAGTTTCAGGAATTTTTCTTGACATTCATGTCATCAGCAAAAATAAAGAAAAGAAAAGACAATTTTATTTCTTCCTTCCAGGACTTCATAATATTGTGGAATTTTGTAATGAAAGTCATAAAACTTAAAGAATGTGCATTGACCACGATTCTTCCTTGTTGAGCTTTAAAAAAAAGTCATCCTTTTCCTGCCACCTAAACATCCTCTTGTTAAGAAAGACAAAGATTTGTAAGCTGTGTTTACCCTTTTTTAAAGTTTACCCCTTATTAAAGTAGTAATAAAAGAAAAAACTAAATTTCATATTTCCTATGAATATTGTA